AACATAACGATATCGTTTCTTTGCAGAACTTCAAACGTGCCGTACATCAATTTCAACGGCTCAATTGCAAATCGTTGGGTCGAGAAATCCGAGAAAGCGCTTCAAGACGACCGCACTACTACTCGATGAGGAGACACAATCAGAGACGGCTGCTTTGATCTTCCGCTAGACCCCGTTTTTCACGTCTGCAATTATGCAAGTACCATCCCGGCCAAGATTGTGCTCTGCGCCGAATTCCACATTCTCATCAAACAATCTCGCACCTCAATCTCTGTCGGATACAGGGTTTTCCAGATATTCTTGTTAATAATTAAGACGTCCGTAGTTGGTGACGTCATGCGCTCTGAGCTTACTTCTGTCGGGATACAATTTTCATACATAAAGTTTTACTTTTGACAATTTGCCAACAATTTTCGCTAGTTATACAGCCTTTAACAAACCATCAATAATCAATACCATCTACTCACAACCTACTTGATGATCAAATCGCTTGCTACATAGAGAATCGATTCGGAAATCAACGAAAAATTGTGGAAATATTTTAAACAATATGGAAACAGTGATCCAGCACGGGTATAAGAAAAATGGTTTCGCGTGCGAAAAGGTTCTTAGCAATTGATCCGAGTCGTCTGCGCCATTTTCTGCCCACGGCTATGCATTCTTGTCCTCAACGGTGTTTTATAATTACTGCCTTATCTGCTGAATCAGATGTTGTCACTGACGTAACAGCGCTTAGCTTTTCACCGTAAACCAACTTCCTGACATGGTTCTGCCGCGAAAGCCAATGCGCAGACGGACTAAAAACTTCTTAGGCAGATGCCAGACTTTGTGACCGCTCCCTAGCGAATCGCGCGAATCGCCGTTCGCAAAGCCTGACACTTGCCGTATACACAGAAAACACAGTCACAGAGCACTATTTGGCTATGGACACGCGGACGACAGCAGACAACTGGTGTAATCCTAAGAACTCAGGCTATTGCAGCGGATTTTGAGCAGGGCACGATGTGCAAATACAAGATGGCGCAAAAATACTTAGAGTCCACAAAAAGGCAATTATCGCCAATCATGCTGCTGTATGATTGTTATTGTGCTCATATTATGCTGTTTGTTGCTACAAAATACTCTGTGAACCACGAGATGTATAATCCACTCAGAAATGATAAGACCACACATTAGCAAAGCTGACTCCACTAAATACCTTCGGAGCATGCCTGGAAAGTACAGGGGTTCGAAGAAAATACTCCTAATCAAAGGATTATTTACATTTGCGCTCAACCTTCAGAAGCGCTTCATACTTCGCGCAGGCAAAGCACTCTATCTTAGATGCCTGGTGTCATTTACCAACTGCGAACTTGGAGTTCAACCCGAGACACCACCAGCTTACTGCCGCGGGAGCTGTCAATTTTTGAAAAAGATAATGAGCTCGCGCTGGAGTGGTATTCCCACACTGCTTGGACGATCTTCACAAAATATGGTGTAGTAATAGAACATAACAAAAAATTCAAAAGACTATAACATTAAACAACAACAATTCATGTTTCACAATCACTACTCAAACTGATCAAGACGGATGTCGTTTTTCGGCTGAGAACTAAGCAACAGGGTTTATTCGTGCTGCAGCATTGGATGCGGCAATCGTCGGAGCCATAACCGGTTTCTGATCCTGTAGCCACCGTACTTGGGTAGCAGGCCCATAGCCCTAAAATTTGACTTGTTGCACCTCAACTGCATGGAGAAAAAATGATGGCTTCATCGAAAAGTTTTTACAAAACTGCTTGAAAAATTGCTTCTAAGACTTGCTGCACTACCTTTTCGTTCCTTGCAGCTATCCTAAAGATGATAGCGGGCTTCGCGCTTTGATCAACAAACGCTGCAGCCAGACTAGATTGGTTGACGATACACTCCGGATCAACTCCAACATATACCCTGCAAATAAGCCTCCCTCATTGAAAAAAGGCCCATAGACAGCTTGTTTGCCGTCACATAAATAAGAAAGTGAAATGAAATTAAATGACTAAACACGAAATGATTTCTGAAAAACTAGGATAGGTCTCAATGTCGAAAAGATAAGCTGATTTCGAGTAAATCTGTTGCTTTTGCCTACGATAATTGAATCCAAGCTTTTTGAACTTTAAGCCAGCTTAAAAATAAAAACCTCCTGGCTTAGTACACCTTATTAGCTCGACAACTAATCAGCGTATTTGCTAAATTGCTTCTGGAAAGCCTACAAACCTTTTATGGCCTCTCCGGAAGCCGACTGCAAAAAAAGGAAGATTCTATGTCACAAGGCTAGCGAATAGACTCGCCACGTTGTTGTTAAGCAACTAAGAAATGCAATCTTAGCCGCAGCATTTGCAAATTGGATATTAACCGCCTCAATGAATCGCCAACTGGTTGTCAGCTTGCTCCTGATGGTGTGCGAACAGCCAGTTATGACACTATAGTTCAAAAATTCTACCTTAAAATTATCAAGAAATTGTGACTTATTTTCACGAAACGCATTCTCGTAGCAACCCATATGAACAATTTATTTTGAGGTCCATCAAACAAGAAAAGGCCTTTCACCATCTTCTATTCATAAAACCAAAACTACGATACCTGCTACATTTTGTGGAGGTTCCCATGTCAGCTGAGCGCCATCTTGTCCTTTTGTTATTTTGATAGAAGAGGGAGCACCTGGGAAACCAGGAAGGCAGGTCTAAAACACATTTTTATTAATACTACTATATAAAGTGAACTAAAAATAAGAATGAAAAGGTAACGAAGTTGTAATACCCTTAAACGCAGAGATTTCGCTCCAAGGTCCTCGTCCAATTGAATTGATACCAGCGATTCTGAACCTATAAGCCGTTCCTGGCTCAAGCTCCGCTTTTCGAAGGAAGTTAACTTGTCCTGCATGCATGCCGACATCGAAGTCACTCTATAATACATACTAATTTCTGCGCAATAGAAATCGAGTACACTGAGAAAAGGATGATTCTAATCCCATTCCAAAACCACGCGACCGACACGTGAGATCATTATATTCACTATAAGAAAGAAGAACAAAAAAAATTCTGGTAAACAATTCGGAAACCGAAAGCGACTGTCACTCGTACAATTCGGCGCTGTACACTGTCACAGAATCTTGCTGCGAAAACTTCAGTTGATCTCAGGCGATACAAGGAAACATCTAAGAGCTTTCTCACAATGGTGAATTGGCATTACCTTTTCTACCGCATCCCATTCTATCGATGGTTTTTGTGGTTTCTATTCTTCGAATTCGAACGCTTCAACCCGATTCTTACAAGGCGTCGCTTGCTACGTGGTCGTCCCAAGGAGCACTTCTATCTATGTGTAGCCTTTTTTCCGCTCCCAAACTACCGACCTGCCCATAGAGCGTAGTTTCGTAAGTTCGTTTCGCTTCGAAAACTGAATCTTCTTGTGGGAACTTTGTCCATTATTTACAGGGGGGTGGTCCAAAATTATGAGGACCGCGTGCGCGCGCAGTCATATCCACTTTTTTCCGTATCGCTCCATTTTCATCTCGTTTTCTGTGCACTATGTGAGAGGTACATGTCTTCTTCCTAATGAAACCAAATTTCATGAAGTTCTCAAAACTAGTGAAATAACTACTTCACTTTGAGTCAGTCCTCAAATTGAACTCACTAGGGGCTCTGGCACGTTACATCTAGCAGCAGTCTAACCTATCAGAAGCCCTTATGAGCAACAGTTCAACTCTTCAATAAGTTTGGAACCACCACAGATGGAAAATTCGGGGACTCGAAAGTTACCACCAGGATAATTATCAGATGCAGAAACTAGGTCTCCCCTTGTCGACTTTCGTACACCCAAAATGAAAAAATTGATGCGAAAACCCAGCCAGACACTCTAAAGATCCCACATCTGTAGTGGATAGAAAGCCACACGAGTAGTCTACTTGGGACTTCTTACAGGACCGAGCACCCAAGAATAAAGCAAAAATTCTCTAAAAAGCGAATTTTCGAGTCGTTGCGTTTCCGAGAAATTGTTACAATGGAACCTTCTAAAATGTGCATCGCATCCTACTCCCACTGTGCATCGAAGTGATGAGTAAATGCGTTTTGGATACATTGACATATAGCCACGCCGATGTGCAAACGTTTTAACCTCCGAGACGACCATGAGAGAGATCCCAACAGGTGATGGATCGCTGCCTGGCACAATGGGCGCAGTATCAGTATTCAACATCGTCCGTGCGCATGGTAAGTGGCGCCACCGTCAATATGTATAGCAATCTCTCCCTCCTCACCCCTCTGATTCAATTCACAGTCATTGAGCGCTCAGAATGCTTGCATTGTCTAAGTACTAGCATCGCTACTGTAACATTAAAGTGCTATCGACACATAAGTTCTTTCAGCATTACCCGTTTGCGATATCAAAGGTGAACCAAAGAAGTGAGCCAGACGAAAGGGCTACAAATTGAACTGCAATTATCCAACCTGCCTACTTTCCTACAATCCGAAACTTTTCTGCCACCCGATCTCTATGCATCAGTGTCTCGTGAGAAGCTCTAGCTTTCACAACGAGTCCCACATCTAGCCTTTTGGACGAGTGTGTTATTCGAATGCTATAAAACTGAAAAACTCACTCCAAATGTACTCTCGAGTGATTGTTCACCAGGCAAGAAGTAATGCGTTACGAGACATGACGTTCCTTTGATTATTCCCACGTCATACCATTGCTCTTCTTCAGGAGGACTCTGTTTCACAGTCTGATAGACAGGCATTCCATGATTTCCAGCAGGAGGTTCTGATGGTTCACGCTTGGTACACTGATTGAAATTTTGCTCATTAGCAGCTGCCATTTGTTGTGATGTCTGGGAAGTGCTGGGAATGGGCTGTTCGACCCCTCCACTAGTTTCAGCTAGAGAGGATTGCGGTACTTGAGGCAACAGGTACAGGAGGATCTGCCGGAAGTGATGAAGACTGAAAGAATAAAATTGTGACAAGACGAAACAGACAAAGGCAAAAAATGATGAAGAATAATTCGTTTCACCTGTTCTTGTAACTGCTCTTGATTGCTGGATGATTGTTCTTGCGACACTGAACTTCTGGACTGTAGGATCGTTGACTATGGAGGAGCCTTCATCCTATAATGAATTTTGATAAGTGTGAGAAAAGAAACGACTTGACCCTATTAGCATAAAAGGATCGGATTACAATTTCACTCATCCGAAAACAAAATGGATTAAGTCCACACTACATGATTCCCTAATCGCTAACTCATCTCTACCTCCTCCCTTCCTGGCAAAGAACTGCCTAAATATGTTTTGGCGCATACGCAATTCTCTTTTTACCTGAGAAGGTTGCTGTGGTTCCTGAACTTCGCCCGAATTCTTAGCTGAAGGTTCACTAGCATCTGGTGGTGTAGAATCTTGCGTTGGATCCGTAGGCACCATGGGCTGCGATTCGCCGATCCCGTAGATTCCGAAGAGCACTGAGGATCTTGTGGCGCTTCCTTTAGAACACCAAGATTACTCAAACAAATGAAACATGGAATAAATGGAGCCGAATTTGTATAAGAACGGACTTGCGACGATGGTCTTTCCAAAGAAAGCTGTGGAGGCTCAGCCTCTGCTGGTAGAGAAGGAGCACTGCTCTCGGCAGTTCGCTGTTTTGGTGGAGAAGGAGGGGACTGCTCGTCAGCTGGTAATTCATCGAACAGGTTCTGTGGAAGAGCAGCCTGAATAGTGTATACTCCAAGACTGCTAACAACACTCAAGAAAAACGCAGCTGCTGCGTTGCTTCCCGTAGATCCACACCCACCTCGTCATGGGGACGAGAATTAGAGGGAGCAGTGTATGTTGTACCCTGTGTAGATATACTTGGCTGCTGATGTGGTGCTATAGGAAGCGGAGCAGGCTGGTCAACTCCGGCTCCCAGGGGAGCTGCTCCTCTCGCCAACACAACAGCAGATGTTCCAACCGGGACACCACCTTGTACGTACATTACCCTGTAAATGGAAACCCTAATTACAGGGAATCGCGCGCAAAATGTAATCTAAGTGAAGATAAGAGGGAAAAGCATATCAAGATAGATAAGTCCAAGATAATTAGAAACTGACTTCTGTGTGGCTCTCTTTAGAGAAAAATATAGCTTTTGCCTCTGTTCCTGGTTTTACTGCGTTGACTGCAGCCCCCGGTACTCCGGGTACTTGCCTCACGACTCGAACAATTTGTTGCCCAGGTCCCGCACCACGCACAACCTGGAACAATCGCTAGAAAATCACTATCAGATCAGCCACAATTCTTCCATTTCAAAGGCCCAAAAGGACCCTTATACAGAAGATTGACCTTCTAACTTCCTCCAAAGATGCACCATGAGTTCCTTCAGAAGCAAAAAGCAAAGAAGCCCCGCGCACTTCAGCGAGGCAATCAGCAATAAGCATTTGACGTCAGTCGTCAAAAACGCTATTTATTTAGTAGTGACCGCAAAATTAATCGCGACAAGCAGCTCTCCATTTAGCTTGAGAAGAAAATGAGCAGCAAAACAACACTCACCTTCATGACACCTGTCGGCGTTCCTCTCTGCATCATCATCTTTTGCGGCGGTAAAGACGCCTTGCCAAGTGGGGTAAGTTGTCTCGAAACTAAGAAAGAAAGACAATGACATTAATTGTGAGTAAAAATTCGGAACAATTAGGTCATACCATCGTCCTCCAGTATTTTGTGAACAGGCACGTTGGAGTCATACTTATGCAGTTGAAGTAGATATGCTTCGGCAGTTGGGAGAGAACTCCACGATACCTGAAAAACAGAATCTAAATTGTCTGTAAATATGGTGATTCCATGGGAGTTTCCAAAACTTCGAGCAGCCAGCCCCTTAGAAACAAAAAAGACATTTTCAAAAAAGAGTCAGAAAAAAGGTATGACGAGAAAAAAAACAACATTTCGCGTAAGTAACACTTCGACAAAAAAAGTTTTGAAAACGACAGAAGACATCTGAGAGGCAGAAGATAATCTAACCTCAAGTCCTGCAACACTGGCTCGCACTAACTGAACGCGAGATGGTGTTCCCGGAACAGATGTCTCCAAATACCACATGTCCTTGCAACACACCTACAAAACATTCTAATCTTGCAATACACATGTAGTACATTCTAAACTCTTGGATAACACAGATATCCACGGTTTCTTTCAAAGCCACAGATGGCACAAATTTCAACCCTCCATGGATGGGACGATAGAAATAGGCTGATAATAATCGCAATTGGATGCAGAGTTTGAGACCTAAGTTCTGCCTATTTTTTAGTGAGGTACCGTCATAAGCAGCCACTTTCGCAACGAGAACAAATAATAAGAGTCCATTTTGGCCCAACAAAGAGAGCTTAAGTGTTTTGTGGAGGATATGTGTATTTTGATGACCATCCAAAAATTGCTCCTCCAAATGGGTTGAGAGAGACTGCTCCGAAAGCGAGAAGACAACGAAATCGGCAGCACATTGCTGTGATGCACACACAAAAGAAAATGATTCCAGACCATGACCCCTTCTAATGATAAAACTATAACAACAGAATGAAAATTGTTCGGGCCCTTGGTCCTGCTTCGAACCTGATAAAATGACTTCGAGGTAGACTACGACAACCAAATTCACATGAAAAAGCGAAGAAAAATAATAGAAACCTGGTTGTTCCACGCTTTTCGATATCCATCTCTTCCTGACCATATATAAATTCGATCATTGATTACAGCGGAGCAGTGGCCGGCTCTAG